CCGCCGCCCGCGAGGAGGGCTGGCCCCGCGGCGTGGACGCGGCGCGGGTCGGAAAGGGGGGCTGCGGCAGAGATGCTGGGCGCGAGCCGCTTGGCTGGGTCGCGGGAGATACAGGTGGTAACCTCGGTGGGAGCCGGGAGGGCGCCGGGGAGAGCCGGGGTGGCCGCGGTGGCCGGCACGCTGCGGAGCAGGCTTGTTGGCGGCTCTTCTGGTGTACTTGTTACGGCGATTTGGTTGTTACTAAAATGAGAGCGAATAGTGACTGTGACACTAAGGAAGAGCCCCCCCTCTACCCCCCCACTCTCCCTATGTGCAGATGTTCAGACTGATTCCCTGTAACTGGGTCTGCTCGGAGGGTCAGGCTTATCCTTGTCATTGAATACACCGTCTTACGGAGGGGGTGTAGGCTGGGGGAAAGCAAGTCTTTCTCAGGTACTTGGGGTCCCTTGCATACAAAAATAGCTTCGTAAATAAAGGTCTAATGTGTAGGCTACCGAATTTCCCTCCTTGCTTAAGGTAGGCAGTCTTACCCTTGGAAGTTTGTTGTGCCCTAGGGATGGGAACATTTTCTAATCTTCGTGTTGGCAGCAATACACACAATTCCCATAGGATTTAGAGGTGGCAGGCCTTGATGTAGGAAAACAAAACACAACAACAACAAAAAAATTAGTGGAGAGATGCTATTGGTCCCTCCACCCCTGATATTTTTAAGATCTTGCTGTGACAAGGAATGTATAAAATACATGGTATTATTGCCCGGTTAAGAAACTGCAGTTTACTGGACTTGGAGTTCTAAAATACTAGTTTGTGCTTATTAATCATTTATTTGGCTGGAATATATCTGATACAAACATCTGAAGGAGGATGCTTTAGTGGTAAAGTACCTGGATTTCACATTATGAGGAATGAAGGACTTGTGATGTATTGAAAACATAATCTTACTGGGAGGTTAGTATTAATTTTGGTATTAAAGTAACTCGGGTTTTAGCTGGACTCCCAGGGAATGGCTGATAGGCAGCTGAGTCAATTCTATAGTCTCATGATTTTAAAAAAACAAAAACAAAAATAAATTTGTTTTCTGGTGCTGATACAACAGGGAAGTTAGACTTGGTGTGTTTGGTCCTCTCCAGTGCCAGTTCTGTGATCTGTCAGAAAAACAAGTAACTGCCTTTCTTGTTCTCAGATGGCCAGACTGAACACCAAGAAACGTCAACTCTTAGGAGCAAAGTAATGAGGCTCTGCTAGATGGTGCTGTTTGATTTAAATATATTTCTTCATTTATTACAATTGGCAATAGGAATTCTTAACTGGCTTTGCCTTATGGACTCGATAGCTGAAGAGGCCCGCTTTGCAGAATTGACAGTGGCTCTTCTGGACGTTTCTGCGTGCATCCCTAGCAGATCTAAGACAAACGTTGAGGAACATCCCATTTTCATAGAATAAATATCATTTTGATGGGAGAGCTGATCTGATCTCTATTGTCTCTGTGTGTTTATTGATTCTAGAAGATAGGAAACTTGAAGTTGTGGTTAAAGGTATGGCAACAGACTTTTGTTTTTAATTTTTTAAGGTAGTAGATTTTAAGAGGTAACTGAGGAACGAAGAATTCTCTAGTAAGCAACTTAAGACTGTTCCAGTCTTAAAAATCACAAATAATTTATATTTCAGTAATAACTACCTGTGTATTTTTATAAAACTTCTGAAAAATTGAGTTGTGGATAATGGCAAACATGAAGTAAACATATTAGCTGTATAATTAAGAATTGTTTTCTCACACATCTTAATAATGGAGAGTTGTAAGCACTAACCTGTATCAAGTCTGCTTTCTCTTGCAGTTAGAAGCCACTATATAAAATACTTGAAATTATTTTGTGGCTTCTATGGTTTCTAAAATTTGTTTTCTGGTTCTGATCATAAAATTGGCGAGGGTCAGGTTAATTGTGTATTTTGTTGTTTTACCAAACAAACAGATCAAGCCTACTCAAAGGTTTCAGTAGGTTTAATTAGAGAGAATGATTGAACAACCCTGGAGGAAGGTGGAATGTTTGCATAGAAATTTTAATTCTGATCCTGTTAGATTATTGCCACTGGCTTTAGTACTTTCCTTGTAGCACTGACCAAAATGATAATTAAATAATTGTGTAATTAGTTGTTTATATTTCGCTTTCCCTGTAATGTACAATAGTTTTTAATTTCTTCTCTAAGCTATCTTTGGCATTAAGAACCCTGTCTTCTGATACTGGAAGCACCAATTTCTTGCTGATGAATAAATATATCAGACTTAAAGGAATCTTTACAATGGGAAGAGTTTTCACTGTAAGGCCATACAAGGTTGAGTTCCATATTCTTTAGCTTTATTTTTTTGTTTTTTTCAAAAATACCCTCAAACAAGAATCCAACACAAGTAACTGTTGCTTTTTGCCATTGTGTTGAGAGTTTCATGTTTATTTTCTCTTTGTTCACATTTTTTCTTGTTCTTCCAATAATTCTGATATATAGGCAGTTTTTTCCTCCTCCACTGAAGTAAAGAGACCG